CTCCATAGTAGAACGAGCAATACAAGTCTGTTTTGCAGAATTCCATGAAATTGCACCGCCACCTAGAGTAAAAGCATAACCACTAGTAGAACTCACTTCATCATTATCAGTCACCCAGTTTGCATCACAATAACCTTCTAAAATTGCAGGATAACCAACAAAATGTAAACACAAATTCACAGTACCTTTGAGATATTTAAGAAGCCTTTTAAGAGCATGCCAATGCTCGCTACTTGGGATATGAGTGTAGCGACTTAGTCTACTAACAACATATGCAATATCAGGCCGAGTACAATTCATCAAGAACATTAAACTACCAATTATTTTAGCATACTCACTTTGAGAAACACTAATTCCTTCATTTTTCTTCAAAGGTATACTAGCATCATAAGGTGTTCTTACCGGCACTTCATCTAAACCATTACATTTCCTCAAAAAATTTTATTGACTTTAATGCCCAAGATAACATCAACTTCACTTAAATCTTTCATTTCAAAATGAGAGGATAAAAATTGTTTGGTTTCATTTATGACATTCATACATGAAACAAGAGTTAACATATCATCAACATATAAGCAAATAATCACACAATCATTGCCAAACATTTTGTGATAAACACAAGTATCTGATCCATTAGAAATAAATCCAAAAATGAGAACTGTGTTATTGAATTTTTCAAACCATTGTTTTGGTGCTTGCTTTAAACCATACAAGGATTTCTTAAGTCTGCATACCTTGTTCTCCTGACCCGGAACAACGAACTCCGAAGGTTGCTCCATATAAATTTCTTCTTCAAGTTCACCATTCAAAAATGCAGTTTTAACATCCATTTGATGTACCAATAAATTACGCATTGAAGCTAAAGCAAATAAAGCATGAATAGTAGCAATTTTAGTCACAAGTGAATAAGTGTAGAAGAAATCAACCCCAAACTTTTGTGTAAAGCCTTTAACTACAATGAGTGCCTTAAACCATTCAATTGACCCATCGGGTCGTAATTTCTTTCTAAAAACCCAATTGCTCATAATGGGCTCAAAGCCCTTAGGCAAATCCACAAGTTCCTAAGTGTTATTGAACTAATAGATTCTAGCTCACTATTTATAGCATCTTTCCAAAAGTTAGCATCAATAGACATCATGGCTTCCTCATAAGTCTTAGGATCTTCTTCGATCAAAAAGGTTTGAACCAAACACTCATCAATATAATCATAATTATCAATCTCAGCCAAAAATGTTGTTAAAAAAATCAGGACCAAAATTTGTTTTAATTCTACGCCTTTTGTTTTTCCTGATTTCAGTTACCTCATTATTTTTAGATGGCACAGAAGTAGATGCAAAAATAGGAGCTGATAAAGTAGGACGAACAATGTCCTTCTTCAGTGGAAAAATATGTTCAAAAAATTTAGCATCCCTAGATTCACATATAGAACGATCATTGAGGCACATAAATATGTAAGAAGCACTATTATAAGCATAGCCAATAAAAACAGCATCAAAAGTCTTAGACCCGATATTAGGACGTTTAAAAGCCAGCAAACCTACTTTTGCAAAACACCCCCACACTTTAAAATATTTGAGATTAGGAGCATAACCTTCCAAATTTCATAAGGGGTCTTGTCTAGCTTTTTATGTGGAACACGATTAAGAATATGGTTTGCAGAAAGTACCGCTTACCCCCACATTTCATCAAGTAAACCAGAACTCAAAAGCATATCATTCATCAATTCTTTAATAGTTCTATTTTTCCTTTCTGCTATTCCATTTTGTTGTGGAGTATAAGAAGCAGTATATTCATGAATTATGCCATTTTTCTCACAAACATCCTTTAAAAAATTTGTGCTTTATTCTCCACCTTTATCGGATCTAAGTCTCTTAATTTTCCTGTCTAGCTGATTTTCAACTTCTGCTTTATATATTAACAATATATTCTCAACTTCATCTTTAGTTCTCAGAAGGTAAAGTTTGGTAAATCTAGAACAATCATCCACAAATGAAATATAATAAAATTTACCACCTCTACTTTGAGTATTTTTGAAATCAGCTAAATCCGTATGAATTAATTCTAAGAATTCAGATTTTCTTTCTCTCACGCATTGAAAGGGCTTCCTAGCATGCTTTGCTTCAACAGAAATTTCACATTTGGAGAAACCACTTTCAATCATGTTAGGAATTAAATTTAAAGATTTAAGGCGTTTCAGAGAACGAACATTTACGTGTCCTAGTCTACCATGCCACAAATCAATAGACTCAGCAATATAAGTAGAAGTAGAGGCTTTATTCATGTTGTTAACAGAAACATCCAAAACAAACAATCCACTAGAGAGATGCCCTTTCCCCACATACTCCCCATTACGAGTCAGAACAAGCTTGTCAGCCTCAAAGACCAACTTAATACCAACCTTATTAAGTAAGGCTCCAGAAATCAAATTCCTACAAAGGGAGGGGACATAAAAAACATTTGACAAAGATAAAGATTTTCCAGAAGTTAATTTAAGAAGAACCTTTCCTTTGCCAAGCACATCTGCACTATTTGAATTTCCCATGAACACCTTCTCAATTTCGGGAGACTCATCAAACTCAACGAACATCTCTTTATTAGCACAGAAATGGCGAGAGGCTCCAGTGTCCACTATCCACTCAACATGGTTCTCAACCATGTTCACTTCAGAAACTACGGCATTCATGATGTCATCATGCTCGACAACATTAGCTTGAGGATTGTGGTGAACATTTCCATCCTTGTTATTGTCAAATCTCTTAAAGCAGTGATTAGCCTTATGACCTGTTTTACCACACACGAAACAAGCACTGTTATTTTTCTTCTAGATCTGTCCACCATGGTTCTTGAAGTTTTTATTTCCAGGTTTCTTGAAGGACTTCTTATTGGATTTGAAAGAGCCTGAGAAATGCCATTTAGACCTGTGATTATTGCCACTTGAAGATTCAACGAGGTTAGCTTTAACAGGAGGTAAAACGGAAGAGGACAGTGACTTATCCTTGAGGCGATTTGCCTCTTCAATTTTGATGTGGTAGACTAATTCATCCAGTGGCATGTCTCGTTTCTTATGCCTTAATTTTTTGCAATATTCTGCCCATGATTGTGGCAGCTTCTCAATGAGAACATTTGCTTGCAAAATTTCGCACATCATCATCCCTTCGGCCAGGACATCAGAAACCAAATTTTCGTATTCATGGACTTGGTCCATGATTGATTTATCATCCACCACTTGAAAACGCAGCCATTCTCCGGTGACATACTTGTGCTTTCCAGCATCATCCGCCCCGTACTTCTTCTGCAAAGTCTCCCAAATTGACTTTGCGGACTTGTTCGGAATGAATAAATCAAACAATGGATTTTTCATGTGAGTGAGGAGATGACCACGAACTGTTTGGTTGTCCTTCTCGTACTTTCTTTTGGCTTGGTCATCTCCCTTAGCCTTGTATTTGGTAGCAGTGCGTTTGGACTTCTCTGAAGCGGCGACGACATTGGTAGCGGCATCATCGGCAATTGCAACGATGGAGTCGTCAGTGGTGTTGACATCATCAACGAAATCAGTTGGGGCGTCTTCGAACAGACGTAGTCAACTTCAAGTTGTTCGAAGAATATTAACATCTTCTGCGACCACTGGCGACAGTTCTTTCCGTCGAGCGGCTCGAGTTTGGGGAGGTCTAGAAGAAGTTTGTTTAGTGCAAAAGCCATTTACGCAGCACCAAAGTCGTTTCTAAATTGTTGGTTCGGTACTGCCGGTCTCTTATTGTACTGTGCTTCTTCTAAAGTTTTCTTCTTGCACCTGAAACTGAAACAAAACAAAGAGAGTGAAGCGCCATGCCGTGGACTAGTTCCACTGCCTTAGAAACGATTTCGCCTTCACCGGTGCGGTTGAACAAAGACGTCGTCCCCCAAGGATAACACAGAAGCCGGCCTTTGTGTGCACCCACAGAAGCCGGAAGGAACTGTACAAAATATGCTCAGCAAAGGGAAAAAGAAAACTCCAAGAAATTTGCAAAAGGGTTTTTCATATGGAGTAATTTTCCTTTGGTATTTTTCTATACTACACCTCTGCCAAAAAACTCAATAAATAAGCAAGGGAGATGGAGATGTTTGAAGAGGTTGAGAAGTTTGTGGTGAAGCCAAAGAAGTGTACGTGAGGCCAAAAAAGTAGGAATCAATTTGAATTGATCCACTTACTCCACCAATTGTAAAAATAAAAGGATAAGCACTTCTTTGACTAAGTAAAATTAGACAATTAAAATTAAATAAAAAGAATTAGTCAAAATAAAAGAAACCTCCAAAAGCCTTGCATTACACAACAGTGGCCGCTATTATTTGGCGGTGTCACCGTGGATGAAGATTAATGCATGGCATAAGAAGAGAAGAGAATGAAAAGGAAATCGGCAGAAGAAAAAAGAATGAATAAGGAATTTGTAGTGAAGAAAAAAAGGGAAATAGAGGGTATATTAGGTGAATAAATAAAGAAATGTTTCTATATAAGAAAAAATGATATAAAAATACCAAAATAAGAACGACATATTTTTAATTCTTTAAATATGTGTGTTATGAAAATGTGACAGTGTAATGAGTAGCGGTTTAATAGTGACAGTGCGGTGGTAAATCATTATGGTCAATGGTGATCAACACTGGGGACCAATGACGGCACTCTGGCAACCTCATGGTGGCAACACTCCGTTGGCTGACAACAACTGGTACGCTCTGTTGGTTGACAACAACTGGTGGCTACGTGGCAGCAGTATATGACAATGAGGCTTATGACAGTAGTGGTGGCAACGTGGCGGAAGCATATGACAATGTGGCTTATGACAGTGTGAGAGTTTCTTTGTTAAGACGTCATTGTACTGTTTGTACACTCTAATTTGAATCTTAAAAAAATTAAAAACAAGCATTTTTATTTTCTTATTTTCTTACTTGTTTACTTTCTAAGGAGTTCTCATGTATAAATTTGTGTCAAAACAAAAACAAAAACAAAAGATGTGGCATATCCATTGGATCTCTCGTCTTTTTTTTAAATTAATAATAAAGTGCAACCAATAAATTACAGCATATTATCAGTCAGCCACAGTTCAATACAAAAAAAAAATGAGCGTGAAGATCTCAGTAATTGAATACCCCAATGCCCCCAAAATAATCCATTGATCTCTCTCCTTCACCTATGAGCCGTAATTAGAGTCTCAATGAATCGTAATCCATCAAACCTTGGAGCAAATTTATCCACACTGGTCAACTTCTCCGTGTTTGATGAAGACGAGCTCACTCCATGCCGTTGTGATGGCTGGCAGCTAAAACAAGGGTGCCCCTGCAGAATACATTGGTTTTTATTAGAATAATTCGACGAATAAATTCAAAGATTTTAATCCTGAATCTCGACGGTCCGCTGCATAAATCAATAGGTAATCTCCATTTTTCCTTCACAAATTACAAGCTTGTGCATACATTGCAGTGACTGTTTCAACATGACAACACCAATCCCGATGCATCGGCATTGTCTGTGGGAAGGAAGAAGAGAAGAAAGCAGATGGAGCAAAATTTGAGTTCCTGTCCCAAACCCCCAGAGATGAACATACAGAGTACTCCAACAACAACAACAACAACCCAGTTAAATCCCACAAGAGTAGGGTCTGGGGAGGGTGTGTGTACGCAGACCTTGCCCCTACTCGAAAGTAGAGAGGTTGTTTCCAAAGAGACCCCCGGCTCAACGTCGAAAGTTGCATTGCTTGACTAACTGCTACTTCATTAATTAAAGAAGCGCAGACAATTTAGAGATCCATTTTGATTTATTCCATCACACCCCAAAGCCAAAAAATGGTGAAATTTTGGCTCCATCGGAGATGATGGAAATAACATACAGAGTACTCCCTCCATTCTAAATTAATTGTGACTTTATTGATACATTGAAAAACGAATGAATGTAGACATATTTTATGTCTACATTCATTCATTTTTCAATGTGCCAATAAATTCTTAATGGACGGTTAATATGGAATCGAAGGAGTACATACTAATATGGCAAGAGCATATGAACTTCACGGTCAACAGACCTGAAACATTGAGAATGCAGAATGCCGATAGAAAGTGGGGAAAAAAACTATTTCAATGAGTAACATAATCCTCGAAACGTGCAGGTGCCTTCTACGTGTGTCCCAACTTGCGAACGTATACATCTTCTTCCCTATGAAAATCAAAATAGTCTTGTATGCCGAATATCCAATAGTGTGGATCTTCTCCATTGAAGTTGGATCTATAATGTGTCATGGTGTGTGATACATTAAAGACCCAGTACAGTCAACTTATGTGGCACTCAACGGGTTTTGATAGTAAGTGCCTGCCCGGGCTTCCATAAGTGGTCAATCTAAGATCATGGCGGGTTGGTTGGATGTAGAACCATTCCCCAATAGTAGTCTACAACCAGGCCTCCATTGTCTCTCAACCAGCAGACTAATTTGACCTAGTCTATAGGGCCATGGATTATTTGGGTTTGGAATTCGTCATATATTTGCTGAAGTGTGGACAAGTTCGGTTGGGTATACGATTTTTCTGTCATTTTGATGGAGGTGAAATTCCTTTGGGTAGTTTGTGTGGTGTTTATTTGAATCGTGTTGGTTCTATCAATGAAAGTACAAGTAATACAACTCAAGAATTGTATCGGCCAGCCCTTTTATGAGCAAGGGTGATCTCCAAGGCAACAAAAAAAGGATTACGAAGGGAAGAAAGCAGATGGAGCAAGTTTTCAGTTCCTTTACAAAAGATGACATCTCTAGACCTTTTTAATCCATACATAACATGGAAAGCAAATACCAAAGCACATATATTTCCTAGAAAATAAGAAAATTCATGTATACAGAACAGAAAAAAACAGAGCATGTCTAGAAACTGGAAAACGGAGTGCTAATGCATAACATAATCCTTAAAATATGCAGGTCCCTTCTTCGTGTGTCCCCGGTAGCAAACATGCAATGGACATATTCTTCCCTATTATTGTACATGTCTATTTCTCCAATCACTATAAATCTAACAAAATACAGTATGTATTTAATTTATTAAACATAAATAAACTTGTGCATATTTTCAAAGTTTGCAAAAAGACATTTCTAACTCACGGGTCAAATGTCGTAGTAAAAAATAAACTACAAAAGGTACATTGCTGAAGCATAGCAACTCGGCAGGATAAATCTGAATTAGGCTGGTTATAAATGGTAACAAGAGAGGCTTATGCATATTAAAATAAGTGTTTAAGCAGATTCACAAGTCCTAAGGGGCATCTAGGGGAGATTTTCAAGCAATACCAAGTACAGAAGTTATTAGAGAATAATCATTATTCTTTTGAATATGAACTTACACCTAAATCTCAATGGTGTCGATATCAGATTATGGAACAGGAAATGCATCTATGGAACACAATGAGCATAAATGCATAATCATGTTTAGTATTGTTCAAGCTCGTCAAATTTAATAGGGTTTTCTATAGTACATATCAATCATCTTTCAACACAAAAATTCTACATCAATATGAAATTCAAGCACTGTGGCAAATCAGAACTGGTTTGAGCAAGGGAGTTCACTATTAAAAAATCAGAAATTCATTAAGCTGTGAATAATCATAATCAATATAAAAATATGAAAGGGAAAATTCACCTCGCTGTGAAAAAGGTTGATGTTCGCCTCACTATAGCCGGATGGAGCAGCGAGAGCCACCGTCGAAGCAGCAAGCACCGATGCGACGATCGTGCTCGAAGCCTTCATTTTTTTCCGTCGGAATATGGAAATGAAGGAAAAGATCTATCACAATCTCCGATGGGAAAGAGTGAAATCCGACGAAAGTTCGCCGGATCTCCACCAAACTCCGAGCGGCCACGGCTAGAACTAGAGTTGTGTTTCTTCCGTTCCTCGTCGTTAGGTTTTATAAAGTTGCTTAAATTATTTAAATGCGAGTTTTGTGGAAATAACTTTCAGGTCCTTCTATTTTCAAAAAAACAACCAAAGTCCTTATATTTTGTTGTAATGACTGACAGGGAACATTTCATCCAATACATCATCCGTAAATGTTAATAGATGAATTTTTTTCCTATTTTTCCAATACTTTTTTTCCCTATTTTGCCATTACCTTGTTTTTTCTTTTTTTAAATTTTTTTTATTTCATTTGTTTTAATATAATACAAACAATTTTGAATTTTTATACGATTTTATAGTAGAAATTCTAAAATAACACTTTTAAAAAAATAGTAACAAAATGAAAGAAACACAAAGAAATAAAAAAAGGAGCGGCCTAAGATTTATTACCTTAAAACATTTAGAAAAGAATAGGAAAAAAATACATTTATTAACGTTTACAGATGAAATATTGGATGAAATTTCTCCTTCCAGTCATTACAACAAAATGTAAGGACCTCTGCTGTCTTTTTGAAAATAGAGGGACCTGAGAGTTATTTCAACAAAACTCGTGTCACCCGTGAATAATTTTCTGTGATTTTAGTGCCGAAATTTTGATGAGCAAAAGATATATGAGTTCTCATATTTCAGATGTGGAAATTTATTTGTTGTGTTTAATTGGATCAAAAGAGATATTGAATTTGATATATCCATATTTTATACTCCCTCCCTCCCATGAAACCTTTCTCCTTTCTTTTTTTCTCCGTCCCACAAAACACTTCTCATTTCTATTAAAAAGTCACTTTTACCCTTACTTTTTCATACCCTAACTATCACATCATACTTTTTTACTAATAATCTATCCATCAAATCATACTTTTACTCATCAAAGGACATTTTTGGAAATTCAATACCAAAATACACTCCCCTTAAATCCCTGCTAAAAAGTAGATGTCTCATGTTTCATGGGACGGAGGGAGTAATTCTCTGAAATAGAGGGTTTCAATTTCTCTTGAAATTGGGAGATATCAATATAGAGGTTTAATATTTCTTTTACCTGTTGACTATTCCTCGCCATCGGCTACGATTGTCACCGTCAATCGTCCTTGTTTTCGGCCACCCCACATATTACTAATTATATCATGATAACCTCTCCAAACTGATCACACGTTTCCGTTGACGAAACATCACAACTCTATGCAAAATATTTGACTGTTTGGCCAGAACATTTGAAAGTATGCATCAGTTATGTATAAACATGATATTTCAACGGTTTTCTACACGAACCATCACATATTATCGCGAAACATTCGAATGTTTAAGAGTAAACATTCGAATTTATCGAGTCTTTTAGTCAAATATGTTGGTGATAAAAACTATATTCGAATGTATAGTTTTATACACTCGAATGTACGTAACTTTGAACTCTCTTTACGAAAATTCAAAAGATTTTCATAAAGTATCTATGTCGAAAATAAAATTTTCCCCTTAGACCCTGCAACGAAATATGTAAAATTATTAAATGGGTGTGCACTTTGGTGCCGAAAATCTAACCATCACTGCCGCCCCCTCAAACTAGCTTCAAATTAAACTCCATGCTGGTCGCGAACCCTTCACAGTCGTAATTGTGCGCTCAATACCGATGCTCGTTGTTTCTCTTTGACGCCACTATCCTTAACCAATGTGATTGCGCCCTTCGCCATTTCAAGAGGCAGTTGTACCCAACTTGAATATAGCCGGGTGTGTAATAGAACTTACAGGTTTAGAATGTGTGATCAAATATGAAAGGGACGGACTATAATTTTTCGAGTGTTATTGACTTTATTACAACGTAGTATTTGTTCATATTTTTTCTTAACTTAATGACACACAAAGAGCAAACACCTCTATCTCTATTGGTATTCGAATTGAAAAAACTTTCTCATGAATGTTATTGAGCATGTTTCCTACCACTCAAATCAATAGAGAAAATGGGGACTTAGGGAGGAGTATAATTTTACAACACTTTGATTGAATAAAGTGGCGAACAATTTAGGAAGGAGGTAAGAGCACCGACAGTGGCGAGGCAACTCGTTGCCACGCCCTGCCACATTATCCCAATAATGCATTTGCCTCGCGTGGCTAAGAGGTTTTGCCATGCTTGGCATGACAGCTGCAAGGCACTCTTTTTTTTCTTCTTAATTTGTTGTTTTTTTGTAAAACAAAGTTTTTTTTAAAAAAGTAGTACATCTATTTTTATGAAAAAATATAAGTAAAATAATTTTTAATAATTAAAATATATGTTTTAAAAGTGTAAAAACTGACAAAAGCAATGACTTACCATTGGAAGGAATTACACTCCACTCACTTACCACACGCTAAATAAACTGATTTTGATTGATAAAAATACTCAAAAGCATTCCATATTTTAGTTGCCATTGTCTATTACCTAAGCTATAATAGTTCCGTGCACCCATGAGATAAGAATTAAAAGATCCCTTGTGACCTAAAGCCGGCCAATTATACTTTGCCCCCACCACACCATTAGACCGTCCACTTGGGGTCCTATTTAGACACACTTTAGGCGTATTTAGACACATTCGACAATTTCTCTACCGTCCACATAATCAAAGAACATGTTAATCGTGTTCCACTTTTAGGCCTATTTAAACAATTTCGTAAATAGAAAAGTATTCAAGGCTACAATATAAAAGTATTTCATTCTGACTTTGTTTAGGATCTTTTAGTTGTAGCATCTAAATGAATCTCATCTACTCTGACTTAAATGCACTTCACTTGCTTTGATATGAATGAATTTAATAATATGACTTGATTCTAATTGAAATTGAAATCATTGCAATAATAATATTATATTTTAACATTAAAATAATCATTTTTATAATTATTGATTAATTCATCAACATATAATACACCAAACAAAAAATTTCATACTAGACTTATTTGTTTTATGAAACAAAAAAAATCAATTGAATGATACATTAAAGACATAGAAAAAAGAAAAAATTATTGACAATAATCAATCATTGGAAAATTTATATGTTATGTTACAAAAAATGTTCAATTATTTTTACATCTTAAATATTTTTTTTAGAGGAATACATCTTAAATATGTTGGGGTATCCTTCCTACCTGAAGGAAGGAGTTCCTAAAATGTACTCCCTCCGTCCCAAAAAATCTTTCCTGTTTCATTTTTTGCGCATCCCATAAAACACTTCTAACGACATCTAAAATGCCTAAAATTTACAAAATTTCTTCTTTATTATGGGTAGAAGTTATTTTGAAAGTTTTTTTGGCAATCAAGACGGAATAGAAATGTTTTATGGGATGCGCAAAAAATAAAACAGGAAAGACTTTTTGGGACGGTAATTGGTTTAGAGATAAAATAATATTGTAATAATAATAATATTTTATTGTATTATTATAAAGAGAGAAAAAAGGGCTGAGTGGTGGGGCTGCCACCTTTATTGAAAAGCCAGTAGCCTTTTCCTTTTGGTTTTCTCACGAGAGAAAGAAAAAGAACAGCCAGAGAGACAGAGAGAGTGGGAGCCGAGAGAGGAAAGAAGAGAGAAAAAGTGGTGCAACAGTCCAGGTTTTTGCTCCGATCGATGATCAAACGAGCTTCGATCGGGATGAAATTTTAGTATATTGTTCCTGACATCCTCTTCTTCATATCCAACGGCGGGATTGTTGTTTTGACCTCTCGATGTTGGTAAAATTGCCTCTGTTTCTATGCTGTGTTTTTGTGTGGTTTTCTCACTTTTGAGTGAAGATTATTGTTGTTTGGTGTTCCAAGTTGTTTCTTGATGATTGTGTGTACCTCTAATTGATTTAGAGAGGATTCTTGGTTGTACCCACTGATTTTTATTGGTGATTAGTGGAAGGCTTCGTGGCATTTTCCTCGATTTGGGGTTTCCACGTTAAATCTTGGTGTTCGTTTTCGTTTGATTGATTGCTTGTTGTTATGTTTGCTATTCTTGATCAGTCATATGATTTTGCCCATTTTGACAACACAAAGACGGGAAAATTATTAATTATTTCCGCTAGAAAATTGAGGTGGTTTTCCCAACAATTGGTATCGGAGTTATATTTTTGGGTGATTTTCCTGTTTTGTTAAAATTAAGGATAAAGTTGTTTTTGGGGGAATGATTAAATTGAACTCTTCCAATTATCAAAGTTGGAAACCAAAGATGGAAGATATTTTATATATTAAGGATTTGCATGAATCGATCTTGAATAAGGAGATGCCAAACGGTTAACAAGAAGGTACTTGGAAATTGCTTGATCGGAAAACTGTTGGAATGATTAGGCAATTCATTGATGATAGTGTGTTTCAGCATGTTGCTAATGGTACCAACACTTATGAACTGTGGGAGAAACTCAAATTCATGTATGAGAGAGAAAATGCCTTGAATAAAACCTCTATTATGAGAAGACTTGTGAAACTTGATTACAGGGATATGCATAGTGTGGTAGAGCATTTGAATGATTTTCAAGGCTTGATTAACTAGTTGTCTTCTATGAAATTGGTTTTAGATGATGAATTTTAGGTGTTATATCTCCTCAGCTCATTGCTAGAAAGCTGAGAGACCTAGGTTGTACTCCCTCCGTCCCCCATAGATCTTCCCAATAGCCCTTTTTCTTTGTCCACAATAGATCTTCTCATTTCATTTTTTAACAATTAAAATACCACAACTACCCCCACTTTATTTATTACACCTCACCCACCTCATTTAATACACTCCACCCATTTTTCATTAAGGGTATTATGGTAAACTTTCACCTTTTTTCAACTCTTCTTAAAAACCACCAAAAGTCAAAATGAGAACATCTTAGGGGGACGGAGGGAGTATTACTTAGCAATTCTGCTCTAGAGGGTAAGCTCACAATGGATGTTGTGAAGTCGAGTCTGATGAACAAAGAAGCTAGGAGAAGAGATTTGAGTTCCTCCAGTTATTCAGATCAGGCTCATGTTGCTAAGGTAGAGGGTCGTGGAAGAACAGACATAGAGACTTTGAATCCAGGGGGAGATCTAAATCAAGAAGGGAAGTGAAATGCTTCTATTGTGATAAACTGGGTCATAAGATATCTCAGTGCAGGAAGATGAAGCGAGATAAAGCCCAGCGGAAAGAGGAAAATGGTCCTTCTAAGAAGAAAGAGGAGAAAGACACAGCAGCCCTTGCAGATGCGGATGATTTATTCTTTGTGTTCGATGACAATAACTTCGATGTTGCTTTTCAGGATTGTACTTGGATTATTGATTCGAGTGCCTCATGTCATCTCACACCTCATCGAGAGTTCTCATCTTACACTAGGGGTGATTTTGGCTATGTAAATATGGGAAAGGGTGACAAATCATCTAAGATTATTGGGATGAGCACTATTTGTTTGAAGACTAACACTGGTTGCAGGTTCACCCTCAAAGATGTCAGACATGTTCCAGAGTTTCAGTTCAACCTCATTTCAGCTGGAGGACTTGATGAGGATGGTTATGTTAGCTGCCTTGGTGAAGGAAAGTGGAATCTCATCAAAGGTTCTTTGATCGTGGCCCGAGGTAAGAAAGAGAACAAGCTTTACATGATTCAAGAAAAGATGTGCAGAGGCTTGATCACATGATTGAGAGTTGTCAGAGTATCCTCCGTGAAGGTGATATTCCTTTTCCGACCATTCAATCTGATAATGGGGGATAAGTAAGAGAACAATATTATGATGATGATCTTGCTTGTGATGGTGATGTACTTGAGCCACCTCATTTTGAGCATGGAGTTAGTTCCTCAAATTGGTATATTTGAGAGAGATTGCTATCAAGAAGAAAAGAAGAAGGTACACCCAATAGAACGGTTTCAAGCCAAGCAAGATGGAGTTATATCCTTGCTTGATGGACGTAGTCATTCCCTAGTAAAGTTGCATGGAAGCAAGCGAGCACCCAAGAGCAATCAGGTGTTCAAGTTGAAGAGAAGAGAGCATTGCTCACAACCCACGAACTTGGCGCAATTGGTTGTGAAAGGTTTGTTTGATATATATCATCATTGAGTTTTACCCCCCATGTAGGAGTGAGGGGGAGATTTGTTGGGGTATCCTTCCTACATGGAGGAAAGAGTTCCTAAACAATACATTTAGTACTAAAAATGTAATTGGTTTAGAGGTGGAATAATATTGTAATAATAATAATATTTATTATTATTATAAATAGAAAAAAAGGGTGAGTAGTGAGGCTGCCAACTTTATTGAAAAGATTGAAAAGGCAGTAGCAACCCGGTTCGCTACCTATTTATTTGGGTTATGCGGGTTGGAGTGTTAGACTTCACTCAAAAGTGAGAAAACCATACAAAAATACAACAGAGAAACAGAGACGATTTTCCCAATATTGAGAGGTCAAAACAATAATCCCACCGTTGGATATGAAGAAGAGAATGTTAGGAACAACATACTAAAATTTCATCCCGATTGGAGCTTGTTTGGTCGTCGATCAGAGCAAAAACCTGGACTGGCGCCCCACTTTTTCTCTCTTCTTTTCTCTCTCAGCTCCCAGTCTCTCTGTCTTTGCGACAGGTTTTCTCACGGAAGAAGAACAAGAAATATTTCATTCCATTATGTAATAAGAAATATTTAATTGTATAAGTGTATAAAATACTTTTTATACAATCACATAAAATACTTCTTAAATATTTCTTATTACATAATGGAATGATGTGGCATAATATGTGGCAATAAAAGGGTGACATGGTGCGACACATGGCGCAACCACAATTAATCTGCTCTATCTTGAAAGTATTGTGATTGATTTAAGTTGAGGTTTAATACAATAATGATAGTCAAGGTTGAACGTGATCTTGTCCCCATGCTAACTTGTTATGCACGCACTACCGTGGTAGGAGCCTAGTATCGCATCATTGGACAACACAGATGGATATACAAGCTTAGAATGGGTAAGTCTAATTCACATAGTACCAAAAAAGGGACCACTGTAGCAGTGAATGAACAAGGGGAACTGATTCGTGTTAGGAAACAAATTGGCCAGAGGGTGTGCATTGACTATAGAAAACTTAATAAAGAAACCAAGAAAGGTCATTTTCCTTTGCCTTTTCTTGATTCTTTGGTTGAAAGATTAGCTGGAAAATCCCATTACTATTCCGATGGTTATTCTAATAATATTCAAGTTCTTATTTCTCCTTAAGATCGTGATAAAACTACTTTTACATGCCTTTTGGTACATTTGCTTTAAAAAAATTCCTTTTGGCTTTTGCAATGCACCTACCACATTTTAAAGATGCATGATGAGCATATCTTTTGAATATTCAGCAAGACTAATGGAAGTTTTTACAAATGATTTTTCAATATATGGAAGTAGTTTTGAAGAATGCTTACATAATTTGACTTTGGTTTTAAAAAGATGTATTGAGTCAAAACTAGTTCTAAATTTTGAAAAATGTCACTTTATGATTAAAAGGGGTGTGGTTTGGAGATATGTTGTATCTTCAAAAGGAATGTAAGTTGACACATCAAAGGTAGAGATCATTAAAACTCTATTAAAGCTCTGCCTTATCCCAAAAAACATTAAAAGACATAAGTTCTTTTGTAGGGCATGATGGTTTTTATAGAAGATTCATTAAAGATTTGTCTAAAATAGCATTTTCACTTTATAATATTCTTTCAAATGACATTCCATTCTTTTTTATGATAAATGTAAACTAACTTTTCATATTTTGAAATAAAAACTCACTTTGGCACCTATTGTTCAACCACCCAACTAGAATTTGCTATTTGAATTGATGTGTGATGGTAGTGATAGGGACGTGGGGTTGTCTTAGGGAAAAAATCAAGAAAATAGTCTCATGTTATAATATACTATGCTAGTTGCACTCTTGATTCTGCTCACATGAATTATACAACTGAAAAAGACATGTATGATGTAGTATATGGGTTAGAAACGTTTAAAATGTACTTGTTGATAGTTAAAGTAACAATTTACACAGACCAAGAGGGACTCTAGGCAAAAATTATTAAAATGGGTACTTTTACGGGAGGAGTTCACTTATGAAATCAAGAATAGGGCACGGAGTTTAAACCAAGTTGCTGATCATTCAAGTAGGATAAAACTGGATAAAGAGAAATTGAATCCTTTCATAGGGACTTTTCGTGATGATATCTTATTTTTTGTCTCATCTGTTCTTTGGTTTTTCGACATGGTAAATTACATGGTAACAAACATATTTTAATTAGGTATGCCTAGGCACTTAAGAATTAAGATATCACATTCAATCTCAAGCTAGGTTTTCTATTTGGGATGACACTTATTTGTGGAAGATGTGTTCTAATCAGAATATTATGAGGTATGTAGGAGATTCAGAAATAACCTCAAATTTTGAGTTTTTGTCATACAATAGAAAGTGGTGGGTACTTTGGCCCTAAAAGAACTGGTCATAAAGTCTTGGAAGCTAATTTTTATAGGCCAAACATATATAATGATGCTTATGAATTTTGTAAAAATTATGCGAGATTCCAAAAAAACTGGAAATTTGTCGAGTAGAGACCAGATGCCTTTGAATCCTTTATATATATAAAGCAGAGTCGAAGCTATAAGAACGTGACATTTAGCACAGCTAAAGCACGACATGTGGCGAGCTGATGTGGTGACATTTGGCAAAGTTAAAGCGCGACATATGGCGAGCTAATATGTCACCCTTTTAGACAAACCGATCGGTTTGACCGGTTAGACCAGTTCTTTTTTTGCAATTTTTTTCCAAAAGCAGAGTCGAAGCTATAAGAACGTGACATTTAGCACAGCTAAAGCACGACATGTGGCGAGCTGATGTGGTGACATTTGGCAAAGTTAAAGCGCGACATATGGCGAGCTAATATGTCACCCTTTTAGACAAACCGATCGGTTTGACCGGTTAGACCAGTTCTTTTTTTGCAATTTTTTTCCAAAAGCATACCACAATGGGGTTTGAAACAAAGATCTCTTGGTCATTTAGTTGAGTTCCTAACCATCCAAGCTAGGGTGCTTTTTGTTAAAATTTCACTTAAGCTTTTATAATGTTTCATAATTAAAAAAGGATTGTATAAACATTTCTTTTTAGTTATAAAAAATATAATCCTTTAATATAATATTTGAGACTCCGTTTGCTAAAAAGTTGCCAAAAGACAAGCTTATGTGGGCTATATTAAGGTGAGATGACAAGTCTTTATTGGTTGCTTATGTGGCAAATTTTATTAATGATGAATTGATCTTTCTTTTTATTTTAAAATAGAAATTTAATAATGATTTTAAATTTTGGAAAAATTTTACGTTAAAAGATTTAGTAGAAATAAAGAATTCACTACTTCGTGACATTAGTTGAGTATTTATATTTTTATTTTTAAAAAGCAATTCATCTATTTATTTGTTATGATGTGATAAAATTAATTATGTTATAAAATCAAATTTGTGAAAGATAAATGTAGTATTGTCCGAAATAAAATTTTTAAAGGAAAACAATTATATAAAATATAATTTTATGATAAAAATTATTATGATGTAGCAAATAATTAGTGAAAATATAAAATTGGTATTATCACTTACCATTTCAAGACTAGCATTTTTTATGAATCAAATTTTTAACTAAGTGCATACACAAAAAACAAAATTTTGATAATGATATATTCTCATTTAAGAGTATTCTTATAGAAAAGGATCAAATATGTTTATAATTGATCCTTTATTTATAAAATTGATATTTTAATCTTTAAGAAGCAGAGATGTGATATTGTTTAAGAGACATTCCTGACACGTAAAATATATTATAGAAAGTAAGAAGTTAATACTATTGTATAAAGTCCTTCGGTACAATTAATTATGGAAGAGAATATAGTTATTCATTTTTATAATAATTATTTTCTAATTATGTATAATTTTCTATTCAATTATTACAAAACTTCTAAAAGTGTGTTTGGTGAGCAAAAAA